ATAAGAAATCAGGAAGGGGGCAAACACTTTTTCACACAACTGTATATAACGTCAGATCGTCATCATATAAGATCAGACTCAATATGGAGAGATTCTCAGTATTATATAATAAAGGCTTTTTCTGAAATCAACACGTTGCATCTTGTTTGTTGGATTTGTACATGAACAGAAGTGTAAAAGCTACACACTCCCAACTATTTCTTGACAAATAGCAGTTTGTTTATCCCCCCTCTACAGCACAGGTTGCCTGGCAACCTCACAGTGACAATAAGACTGTGGCAGGGCACTGCGTCTAGCTGTTGGTTACAGCACATACTCCCCAAAGGCTAGCTATTTCCCTCTACTTTCAGTCTTTAAGCTAAGCTAGGCTAACCGTGCCCCGGCTGCAGCTCTGTACTTAATGCACAGACACCAGATTGATATTAATTCAGCCAAATATTCCTCTGAATTACTCTGATTGGAATCAGGTGCAAGGTTAAGTAGCCGTGTGGGTAAGAATGTTGAGAACACTGGGCCTTCACACACATGCGCAACAGACGGTGGCAGCGCTGCGGTCACTTGCCATGGTCTGTGTAGAAAATGAGCAGGACCTTTACCAAACTCTTCCCACTTTACAACTCCATTGTGTTGCACTATCATCAGAGATAGTATTTGTTTTGTCACCATTATTCCCTCTTGTAATGTTCCTGTATGTTCCTTCTTTACTGATGCAATAAGTCTCAAGTTTTCCCTCGGGGATCATGAAATCTAATCTTAATACATTTGCGCTAGCCCAATTTTACAAAACACACACACAGATCAGTGGTTAATGTGTCGCCGCTGCTTTGTTCTCGGCTAGATTGGAGACGTTAAAACGGCAGAGAGGTACTTCCAGGATGTGGAGAAGGCCTGCCAGATGACGGGGAGCCAGCCCGGTCACACCACATGCGTGCTGATGAACAGGTACCCTTTTAGCACCTCCGCACAGTGTCCGTTTACCTCTGCTCATTTTCGCTCCGTGGTAGTGCCGCTTCCTTTCGGCGCTCTTTGCAGCTTCGCGCTTCCTTCTGCCGTGCGATGAAGCACAGGAGGTCACACCTGTGGGCAGAGGAGGTGTGGAGCACGAGGCAAACCTCAGGAGGCAACGGGGCTCCAGACTAACTTTGCCCTCACAAGCAAATGATTTGGTCGCACCCTTTTTTTTGGGGGGGGGGTTCAGCCAGTGACATCTAACCAACTCAAGTACTGTGCTGTCATTTTGACGTAGTTGCACTTTACTTGAGTATTTCTGTCTCTCTGCTTCTACTCCACTGAATCTCAGAGGGAAACATTTACTGCACATTTATCTGACAGCTTTACTTACTTAATACATAAATAAACACTGATCTGATACTGCACCACTCATCATCATCATCATAGTAGTATACAAAGTGTCTATAGTTGGCTTCAAATTGATGAACTACGACATTAACAAGTTTTATTTTTGATACTTTAAGTACACATCTACTTCTGTAACATTTTGAATACAGGACTTTTTTTCTTGTAATAGAGTACTTTTAGACTGTGGTATGTCTTCCACCGCTGGGTACAGCATGGTATCAATCAATGACACTCAACCAATGGTCTCTCCCTGCCTGCACTTTCATCATCAGCGGCGTCATATATAAACCAGGCACATGCACGAAATATGAGGGCACAGAAAAATGTAAAGTATTGTCTGTAAATACAATCACTGTAGAAAAGTACAGACGTCAACTTCCAAGCAGTCATAAGTACCTGTGACTCTGTCGACTCAGCTGTTTTGTTCAAGATTAAGATGAGCTTGACACCAGAAGGGAGGAGGCTGCTCTAGTGCCTGGTACATGTGCTGCTTTCACATATCGCTGTATGTTTGCTTGTCCACACACAACAGGCCTTCCACAGCTTCAAGTGTGACAGAAACATGTTCTACTTTTATCAGTAGACGATGTAATGCCTGTTTGTTTGTTTTCCAGGGCCTTCGTCTACCTCAGTCAGAACAACTACGCTGAAGCGCACGCGTCCTTCGCCGACGTCTTGGAAATTGACCCGAAAAACCCTGTCGTAAGTGCTCCAACGCCCACAGGAACAAACACCGCGTTAATGCACCACATGGAGTCCGAGTCATGTGAGACACACAATTTAAAGTGAGGCTGATGTCATGTGTTGTGTCGTCTCATCATCAAAACATCGGTGGATCTATCATAGTGTTGGATTTATTGGATGACCCATTGTAAGATGAATAGGAGATGGGGTTGATACGCTTTTTTGTTGTCTTAGCGAGCGAGATGAGAAGATTGATATTCATTTCATGAGTGCTTGTTAAGCACAGAGCAGGGGCCAGATAAATAAACTGCGTACGTCTTTGCACACACACATACATGTCAATCAAAAGCACATTAATAATATGCGTTATGATAATAAATGATTAATGGTCACTTCCGTGTCAGTGATCTTTAAATTTGATCCTAAATGATGAGCCGTTTTGTAAAGTATCTTTCGACATGAGCTCTATGAATCCATCATCAATCATCCTTCTGATGTTTAATAATGGTGATTTTGATATCTCCGCAACGATGAATCGCAGATACATGTAATGAATTAGTGGTGTGGGCGCTATAAATATCCATAGTCGTATAATGACAGCTGCTCCGCTCTGCTGGGGAACACATACGAGCTGTGAAATGGCACCTCTTTCCTTGCCGGTCTTCTGACTGACGGGGGAAACGAGTGGTGGAGGGGGCACAAAGCATCGAGGTGCAAACTGATTTTTATGGGGCGTCTCCACACATCCATTTATGGCAAACTGCAGGAGTAGAAATGAGGCTCGTGCATATTCCACAATGATTGGGATTTATTTCATAAAACAGAATCGGGTGTTTGCACATTTCCGTGTTTGTGCGTACACATTGTTTTAGTCGTGAATCATCAGTTTTAAAGCAGGGGGAAACAGCTAGCCTAGCCCTCTCCATAGAGTGAAGAAATATGCCTTCCAGCACCTCTAAAGCTCACTAAGTAACACGCTGTATCTCGTTTGTTTAACCAGTACATAAACATTAAAAAAAAAAGACTATTTGTAGTTTTTTGGCAATTTCACAGTCTTAGCGGGGCTGTTTGATTCTGTCAGTGAAAAAGTGGGTCACGGTTGGAACCCTCATCCCCCAACATCGCGCTCAGTACCCTTTAATTTGCACAACACAAATGAAATTCAAAATGACGCCCCGAAAGCTCAACATCAGCCTCACACCAAGACGGTAAAAGGGTGCACTTCTTCTGTCCTCACCCAATCCCCCCTCCTCTGTATGTTCCCAGGCCAACAACAATGCAGCGGTTTGCCTGCTCTATCTCGGCCGCCTGAAGGAGTCCCTGGGCCAGCTGGAGGGCCTGGTGCAGCAGGACCCCGCACTCTACCTCCACGAGAGCGTCCTCTTCAACCTGACCACCATGTACGAGCTGGAGTCGTCGCGCAGCACCCAGAAGAAGCAGGCTCTGCTGGAGGCCGTCGCCTGCCGGGAGGGGGACAGCTTCAATGCGCAGTGCCTCAAACTGGTCTAAGAGGGCAAGAAACGTGAACTGGGAGTGGGGACACACACACACACACACACACACACACACACTACCGCACTCTCACAATCTGTAGAGGAGTAGAAAGCTCACACACTCCGCTGGTGGATCGACATTCTGCAAAGGAAATGGCCCTACAGAACAAAACCATCCTCTGTGTGCGTAGAAGTCGATGTTCATTTTACAGATTAAATAGTTTGACATTTAGGGAAATTTGCTTACTTGCAGCGAGTCAGATGAGAAGATGGATAGAATCCTTGTGTTTGTACCGTAAATATGGAGCTCGAGCTGCAATGATGCAATTGTGATGCGAAAAAGACCCCAGATTTTGATCAACTGGAACTTACATCTGCATGAGTATTCATAGAAGATACATATATTTGCAGGGAGGTTGGCTTGTTACTAGGCTTTAATTTTCTCCTCTTCTTTGTCACTTGAAAATATTGCGAATGAAGAGGTTGTTTTTACTCATTTCTCTGGGTAGGCAATAATATGTGATTCTTGGCTTATTAACGTCTTGCAGTACAGACAGACAAGCTCACCTTGCAATGGTCCATCAAGACTGTCCCCATTTTTACAGGCTAGGACCCCCCATTTCTTCCAGCCTTTGTGTTAACTTAAGCTAACCAGCTGCTACCTTCATTCTTAGCATGCAGCAGTATCGATCTTCTCATCCGAATCTCCGCAAGAAGTTTCCAAGTATTTCCAGAGAACGTCAAACTGTCGCTCTACATTTTGTTAAAATCAAAACCATCCCTGTCTCACCACCACAGAGTCATATTAAGCGCTGTGAGGTCAGAACACAGATGTATGTTGCACTACAGACTGGCAGTGGTTATAAGGTAGTTGCAGGCTCATAGTGTGGGTCTTGATGCGGGCATTATCCTGAGCTTCAGTGTGCTTTAGGACTTTAGGTGCTTTTCAGACACCCGTCACACTGGATTAACAGGCGAAGGCCACTCCACTCCAGCTGCCAGCTTTACGAACTCGTGCAGATTGCATCGTATCCTCATCACTTAACAAAAAATGTAACATATTAGGAATCCAAAATTGTACATATCAGAGCTGTTTTTTTCTGTCATGTGATTATATCAAAAATGATCTCATTAAATCTTTTATTGATTTGTCCTAGTGGATCTTTAATTTCCACATATTGTGTTGATCATATTTATGTATATTGAATTTTGTTTTATCTGAAATAAATGGATGGATGGATGGATGGATGGATCATTTTTTTTTTTTTTAAAGAAGCAAGGCACAGATGAGAATTAGCAGCAGCTTTATGTTCCAGACAACACAAAATGTAAGTGAATCTGTCAGACACTCCACCCTCTAGCACAGACGAGTGAGGTGAAATGTGAAAGTAGAAAATACTGCGTACTAGTTGCGCATTTCAAAATGGTGTTGAAGGTAAGTCTGACTGCACCTCACACCACATACAGCCGCTTTATAGAACAAGGCACTACAGATTGTCCTGTAGTGAAAGTATTCAGACCCTACTCGCAGTTAATGTTCATATTGTTTACACTTGGGTATCTCTAGTAAAAGTGCTCATGCACAATGGCCCCTTTAAATGTGATGTATATGTTAATGTCATGGATATGTCATGTATTATCCCTGATGCATTAAGCAACAATAATTAAGTACATTGTAAGTTTATGATTTTATTATCTAATCATGTTTTGTCTGTAGGCTCTTGATTGAACTCCACACAGACCGCCCTAATTTTGACATACTCTGCCAATTAAAATGACCAGAATATTTAATTTCATCATAACTGTCGTTTCATTTTATTTTAGGCAGAAAAGGGTTAAGAACCGTGGGCTCATTTGTAAATATTACACAATTAAAAGCTGCTACTCATTCATTTATGGAGTCGTGCAAGTCACTGCAAATAGTTCCAAATAAAAACCTTAACAAATGAAGGGATTTGGTCAGCAGTACGACATTATAGGGCCTTTATTTTGAAACTAACAGGAAGTGTTGCATTGAAAATATTTCAGTCTTAGTTTTAACAGATCAACAGGTTGACGCAGCCACACTGCCTCAGCACCACCCACGATTCACAGCAAAAATAGACATGGAAAATGATCTTTAGACAGTATGTTTAAATGTTAGACACGGGAAAAAAGGTTTTGTTTTTAACTCAACACTTTGTTTCAAAATAAAAGCCCTGTAGACCAGGGGTCTCAAACTCATCTTCACTCTGGGCACATCAGCAACACGGTCGCCCACAAAGGGCCGGTTGTAAATGTAAGACTGTAAATGTGACTACTAACATATTGGTAAATAACTGTCTCTGCATTTGATTATTGTACATAGTTATATAAATGTAAAAATATATTTAAGCACATTTCTGTTATAACTTAAATCCTTTTAATTTAGGGTTAAACCCACATTACTCTATCAAACTATTAAAGAAAATAGCAAAGACAAATAAACAAGTTATTACAATAACTTTGTTCAAAGCTTAAAATCCTTTCAAGGGTGCGTTTGCACAATCCCACGTGAAGTATTTCATGTGTTGTAAAGCCACGTTTAAAGTAGTCTTCAATGTACTCACAAGACATTTCAAGTGTACAGTAACCAGCCAAAGAGCTGCTTCTATGACTGTGTTTAAGTATCTCAGAATTTTGACTATGGGGATATTTTTATTATCAAGTCTAACTTACTTTTTTTTTTTTGCTGGCAAATTCGTGGGCCACATAAAATGATGTGGCGGGCCGGATTCGGCCCGCGGGCCTCGAGTTTGAGACCCCTGCTGTAGACAGAAGGTAGGCATGCATGCTACCATTTGAAATGTTGAAATGTTTGAAATGCCCTCCCACATAGCCTCTTCATAGCCATTGGCAGGTGTGCCGCCTGTAATTCACAGTAGTTTGATGGGGTTCTCACCCCACACCTAGCTACTCTGCCTCTGATTAGCGTTAATGGATTGATTCATGTTAACTTTAATGTTAATATGGCACACTGATTAACAAGACCATAAAAATATTCATATAAAACAGGTTGCTCTACAGTATCACATTAGAGGTGAAAGCATCACACAGCTCTGTCTCCGGGTTCCTGCAGAGAAGACAGGTACTTCTGGCGGATGTCAAAGTCGTCGGCGGGCCGGTTGTAAGCTTTCCACACCGGCTCCCCCACAAACAGCCTCATGGCTTTGGTGTAGTTCTGCAGAGACAAACAGAGCGTCAGTATGTATTCTGTGTATTCTTTTAATATGCAATATAAATACTTTAACACATCTGCTTCTTTTTTGTGTGCATTCTGCTGTATGGAAACACCAGGCTGCGTTATGCTCTCAATATTCCTTCTAGTACGAGTCAAATATTCTTTTTGCGGCATAATTTTAATTAACCATCATTGATCATTGTTAGAAATTCATCTCATCTAATCCAGTGTGCTCGTGCGCATTGTTAACACCGTCAGTGTTGAACATCCCCCCACACACACACACACACACACACACACACACACACACACACACACAC